GCTCCAGGATGGCAGGGATTTTTGTCTCATTAAATTCATATTTCAAGCACCCAAAATAGTGCCTGGCAAATAGCAGGTGCCTAACACATTCTTTTGTTGAATAAATTAAATGCATAAATATACATGTTATTTTATATATTTTTTTCATATATTCTTCCTTAAATCTAGAACAACCTAATTCATATCCTATTCACTCTCATCTACAGTGTCATTGACAAGTTTTTACTGCAAACATTTCTTTCTTTCTTTCTTTTTTTTTTTTTGAGACGAGGTTTCACTCTTGTTGCCTAGGCTGGAGTGCAATGGCGTGATCTTGGCTCACCGCAACCTCCGCCTCCCAGGTTCAAGCGATTGTCCTGCTTCAGCCTCCTGAGTAGTTGGGATTATAGGCATGTGCCACCAAGCCTGGCTAATTTTGTATTTTTAGTAGAGACGAGGTTTCTGCATGTTGGTCAGGCTGGTCTCGAACTCCTGACATTAGGTGATCCAACCACCTTGGCCTCCCAAAGTGCTGGGATTACAGGTGTGAGCCACCGCACCTGGCCTACTACAAACATTTCTTGTTTACCTATTGGTCTCCCCTATGTCTTGGGTCAGAGGGTGCGTCTTAGGTTATCTTTCTATGCTCTCTCCTCATACATACCAGAAAGTAAAAGTCACTTAAATATTTGTCAAACTCAACTGACGTGATTAATGTTACCTTCTAGGCAAAGGACCTAAACACACAGATCAGATACAAGCTCTGATTGTAATTGCACAGAAGAGCTCATTTCAGAGCCATAGATACCTTCACTCCATAAATTCTTTTGCTTAAAATGGGAGGTACTATCGCATCAGTTTGGATAACAGTTGAGGCAGAGGCTAATTTTTTAAAATTCTATTTTGCCAGACTTCAGAAAACACAATTTAGTGTTGAATAGCTGGTCTCAGACCAGAGGGTTGGTACATTCTGATTTTTAGAACTGGGGACGCTCCCTGACTAAAAAGAAAGAAAGAAAGGAGGGTGGAATCACTATGACTTAGTTATTTACCTATTGGCAGGACACTATGCCAGTGATTTTGTATCTATTAACTCTTTTTATCCTCAAAATAAATGTGTGAGGCGTACTGTCATTTACATGTTACAGATAAGTAACCTGAGGTTCAGAAAATTAAACAAGTTGTCCAAGATTACACAGCAGGACTAAAATCTGATAAATCCCCTATGCCACAAATCCAAGCACCATGTTGCCCGCGTTTCCCCAGCACCATGTTGCCCGTGTTTCCCCAGCACCATGTTGCCCGTGTTTCCCCAGCACCACGTTGTCCGTGTTTCCCCAGCACCATGTTGCCCGTGTTTCCCCAGCACCATGTTGTCTGTGTTTCCCCAGCACCATGTTGTCTCTGCCCACCGTGTGATAGTTTCGTTCTTGGAATCACCTTCCTATACATAATGGACTCATATACCTATTTTACTATCTTTGCATCTTTAGCATTTGGTTCTTTTATGACCATCGTGGAATATTTTCTGTAACTCACACATTCTTTTAGAGTTCAGAGCCTACAGGACTATGGAACCTAATAAAGTCTAGCACAAACCCGTGAGTGCCACAGAGTGTCACACACACGTCAATCAAGTCCACGGGCCTGCTATAAAGAAGTGCCCCTTCCAATGAGCTACCTGGAAAGGCGCACCTAAAGTTGCCAGGGTGCACTGATCGACTGGCATTGAGCACTGATTAGGAAGTAGTTCTGGATTCAAACTTTCGCATTTCCTCTCAAGGATTTCTCATTTTCTCAGGCAAAACAAAACAAAACAAAACCTAAACAAACAGAAAAACACAAAAATAGATGGAGCAGGCATCCAGGAAAAGTGGAAGTAATAAAGGGAAATGCACTGCTGGATTACACTGTGAATAGCCAGAGCATAGGCCGTGCCATGCCCCAGGACTGGACAGAGAACAATCTAGTTAAAAGCACAGAAAGAACATCTATCGTCCTTTAGGGAGGGTTGTTTTAGAGCAGCACACTTACCGAAGCACTCAGAAGTCTATTCCACAGAAAAAAACTGTGTTCAATTCTGTTCCAGCATCACTGCTGTGACCACTGAGGTGAAGGGCAGAGGAGGGAAAGGCTGTCATAGAACCAAAGACCACATTCAAAAAATAATTACTCGATCCACTGACTTAATTCCAACCAGGAAAAGCACCAGGAAAGACATTTAGTGATTCACAAGCTCAGTTGAGTAGAAACTTAAAGATGGCAATGATGTAGCTAGCCCCCAAGGTCAAAAGTGGAAAATGCTAGCTATGGGCAAGGCAAGGGCGCTTCGAGAAGCTTCACTTCCGGGACTTTGCTGGGCACTCCCAAGACAAGGGCGAGCAGAGCTCTGTCTCCAACCAGGGAACAGTCAGTCTGTGGATCTACCGATCACTGTGGATGTTCTCTAGTTTGACACCCTGTCATTTGTCTCTGTCACTAGTGACCTTTGGAGTAAAATGCTCATTCAATTTTATGACTAGGAGAGGCTCCAGAGATTTATCTAATCCCCCCCACCCCCGCATTTTACTGATGAAGCTTCTCAGACATAGACAGATGAAGGGAATCCAATTTTTCAACTTTTATGAGAACATGAAGTACAATAACAGAAGACATATTCTGGACGGTTCGCGGTAGCGGTATATTTGCATACTCGACTGGGTTCACCCCAGGAGTACACCTGTATTTGTCAGAGGATGTGTTCCAATATGGGATTTGGAAAAATATGACCAGTTGATGGCTCAGAAAATAATGTTTGAAAAAATAAAATGTTCAGAAAGTCGGGTTTGGCATTTGCATGCATGCTGAGGTACACAAGCTAGGGAAGAAAAGAGAATAGAAACGTGTCCTACTCCTTTTCTCATTTCTTAACGTTCACGGAGACGTGTGTTTTGAGGGGGAAATTGTGCTCATCTGGAGAGCCCACAAGAGCTTTTCTTTTTTCTTTTCCTTTTGTTTTTGTTTTTATTTCTGTTTCATTTGTTTGTTTTGAGACAGAGTCTTGCTCTGTTTCCCAAGCTGGAGTGCAGTGGCCTGATCTCAGTTCCCTGCAACCTCCGCCTCCCTAGGTTCAAGCGATTCTCCTGCCTCTGCTTCCCACGTAGCTGGATTTAGAGACGTGTACCACCACGCCCGGCTAATTTTTATATTTTTATTAGAAACGAGATTTCACCACGTTGGCCAGGCTGGTCTCGAATTCCTGGCCTCCAGTGATCTGCCCGCCATGGCCTCCCAAAGTGCTGGGACCACAGGTGTTAGCCACAGTGCCCAGCCCCACATGAGCTATTGATAAAGGTAACAACAGAAAAAAATACAGATGGTGAAGAAGGGGCAAGAAGTGCATGTGTATAGAACAAAGTGAATTAGAATGTAGCAGGTCACCTAGAATTTTCATGACTATAACAGCTTAAGAGTGCTCTTTGAAAAACTGACTTAAATATATTATATCCATATATATTATAATACACATATTATACGTATTATATAATGCATGGATATATTATAATTGTATATTATAATACATATCCATGTAGCTTCACTAGTGGCTGGGGCTGGGAGAATGAGCATGAGAGATTCTGGAGAAGTAGAGAGAAGATAATGAAGGAGACTGCTGCCCGAGGAGCCACAGTGGCGGCTGGGAGAGGGCATCTGGGACAGCAAATATCTAGGAGCCCCAGAAAAGAAGGGCTGGTGGAGTGAGCTGCAGCTTGCATTCTCCTTCCTCCTGAAAGCTGCTTCCTCCACCCCGGAGGAGAGAGTTTCTCAGTCTTTCCCTGGGGTCAGACACCGGTGGAATTAATGAAGCAGGAGGGAAAGAAAATGGCAAGGAGATCTCAGGAGCCCTCTTTGTGTAAGGAGAGTAAAATCCACAATAAACTCAGGAAACTCATAAAGAGAGCAGAAGAGAATAGCAAGCCTTTGTATTAGGCACAGCTCTTTGTTTACACTGAAAATAGAAACAGGCAAACTAAATTGCCTGCAGGTTGCCTTTCTCCTTCCTTATTCTTTCTTCCTTCATGCAGTGCTTAACTATGCAAACATCCGGATCCTAAAAGGACATTAAATATTGCTTGATGGAGTCTTAAAATCCAGGAGTAACCCAGAAATGTTTACAAAGGGTGCCTGAGAAACTCCTAATTCTAAAAGCATTGCAAGTTTATTATTCCTCAGATAAAGGTAACCAGAGCCTGTAAACCTTTCCTAAACTAAGTAAAACATTACTTGATCCCAAAATGTGAGCAGCGATTTGGGGATGTTTTCTTGTATTATTAGCATTATAGACCACATTAGAGATAAAATTCATTACTAATAAGGAAAAATCTTTTTTTTTTAGCATTGCCTTATCCCCACTTACACAATTAAAAGGGGGTGTGTGTTAACAGAGCTTGTTCAGATAATGAGCTTGCTCACTACTTAAACTTTCTGTCCCCGTGTATCTTTTCATTCACTGGACTGTTATCTGCATCACGTACCTGGGGGCTTTTTTTAAATGAATGTTGCCTCCTCCATTTTGCAGAAAGCAATGAGAATGGCAGCACTGGAACACCTGCATTATATCAATAAAGGGATTGAGAGGAGACTGAAGCTCAAGAGCTAGCAAATTTGAATTTGTACATCCAGTTATTGCCTGTGTGCCCCCTGTCCCCAAACTCATATTCATCTTCTCAAAAAGGCAGCTGAGAACCCAGCACTTTTGACTGCTTTTTGTTTTCTTTTGTTATTTCTCTTTCCCATTAGAGGTTCAATGTGAGGGAATTATGACTCTTCTAGTCACTGTGTGTGCGTGTGAGCAGGGGGTATTATTTACTGTGCACTAAAATATAATTTATTGTGTATGTGTTTCTCCCCAGATAGCTACATTATTGGCTACTTGACAAGCAACCCCATATACTTATTATCTTCAAAATCCAAGCAGATAGCAAAAAGCTCACCACAGAGCAGAAAATGAATGGATTGCTTTTTTTTAAAAAGTGAATGACCGATTGAATGAATGAATGAATGAATACATTTATTGTCTCTAGTTGAACCTGCTTGTAGGCTCTACATAGTGCCAATAGAGCCTACAAATTCACATTCCACATTGGCAACTCCACCTGCTATTGTTTGATTTGGGAGCTGTTCTATTTACACAATGAATATATACTGAAATATAAACAGAAATATCTTACTTCTGTATATTTTGGGTTGTAACCATTCACCACGTATTACAATAGTCTTTTCTTTTCTTCCTGACTTCTCCAGGACAGAACATTATTCCATCCTGTGAGCAACAGCTGCATGGATTGCAACCCCGCAGAGAAGAAGATTTTCATGGCCAGATGTGACCCTCTCTCTGAGACTCAGCAGTGGATTTTTGAACATATTAATATGACTGTTTTAGAAAAATTTAACCACCATGCCAGCTCCTAGAAAGAAGGAAGGAAGAAAAAGTGATTACCTACAGATTATAAATGAAATTTTAGCCAGCATCTGGGTCGAAGGAGTCAGGAATAACATTTCCTCGATCCAGGAAGGCTGGTTTAAAGATTTGTAAATGCCATGTCAAAGTAGGTTGTTTTGAAGAACTTCCTGCATCTGAAGAACTTGGCTGAGAATCTCACCAGCTGCTTCTGAGAACTCGAGACTAGCAGTTCCCTTGCTGGCCAAGGGCAAAGATAATTTAGGGACTTTTCAAAACAACTGCTGAGCTAATAAATCCTAGCATTTCTCAGGTCAAATCCTGCAGTAGTGAGTAGCTATGAATGGATCCTATTAACTGGGTGGGAGGGGGGTGAAAACGGAGTGCATGACTGCTCTGACAACCTGAGGATATCACAGGTTTAGAACTAGCCACGCTTAAAGGGTGAGCTGTACTCTTTGGTGCCATTCTCTGACTAAGAATGGGTTAAGCAGGTTTAACCCTTAAAAGTGCTGCAGATGATTTCAGAGTGCTCATACTATTCTGTTTTGTTTTGTTTTTTTAAGTGAGGGTGCAATATCTAATGTAAGACTTCAATTACATAATGAAATGGACATCCAGTGTTCCCATTCTTTCGTTTACATTTGCCTTTTTGTTTTTTCAGAGCAAAGGTTTTTTATTGTTTGTGGAAGTTCACCTCCTTGAATCCACTGGATTTCTAATTCACTGCCCTTCTATGAATCCAGTTAAAAACAAAAACAAAAACAAAAATCTGTGCTCTCAAGTTACTCCAAAGAAAGATCTCACAGAAGCAGCAAAACCATATAAGATTTAGGAGAAGGACTTCCCTGGGAAATCTATTTTTACTTTTCTATTATTTTTAAAACCTTAAAAGTCTGATATTTGTCCAGTCATAATTTTTATTAAGCAAGGAAATGGAGTGAGGTTGATGTAATTAGTTTAGGAGATTCTTAAACCCAAATAAATCTACACTCCAAGTGATATATGAAAATGGCTTGGTTCACTTCAATTCTGTTTAATCAGTGGTGGGAGCATACAAGTGGTTTCATTTGTTCGTTTGTTTATTTGGGTTTTGCTTTTGTTTTTTATTTTTTTTCTCGTTGTCATTCTTTTGTAGTGTTGATATTAATGACATTCTTTTATTTGGAAGCTCATAAAAGGAATTACCATTAGTAAAGTGTTTCTGACACCATTTTCGGTTAATGGGACAATATTTCAGGGATGAAGAAAGGAATGCTCTGAAAACTAAATGGAACAATTAATCCTTAAAACAATTTTTTACTGTTCAATAATATCAAGATGGGGGAAGAATATACAGGTATCAAGGTGGTTCTCGAGAAAAAAGAATCATGTTTATGACACATCTCTTAAGTTTTTTCAGTATAAAAGTGTTTTAACTTTGCTTTCTTTTTGTTTTTTGTTTGAAGTTGGTTTTCCTGTTAATAAAAATTTATATAACATCTTGGATCTAGAGCATTAAATTTTAGAACTGGGAAGACTCCTAGGATCCAATCCCTTTGCTTCTTCAGATGAATAATAAAAGCCCAGAAAGGCCCAACTCCTGGCCAGGCTGATGTCTTCTGGGCCGTATTCCTGTGTTTTTTATCTTGTGCTGTGTTGCCTCACTCTGTTACCAAAGCTGGTTCTGGATTTTACTGTGATTTAACTTGAGATTTCCAATCACTAGATGAGAAAACTATGCCTCCCTGGGGATGCCCACTAAAGTAATATCCACATTCAGAAACTGTAATACAGTACATGAAGCCTCTTCTTGTACATGTTCATGATTTTGTTATCTCCCTGAAACCTAATGAAAATGTCTAGTTAAACTACCAGGCCAATAGTTGGGGAAGAGTTATTTCATTATCTTTACTGATTTTTCAAGCATTCTTTTGAAGAGCTACTTTTTTCTTTTTCTTTTTTTCTTTTTTTTTTTAATTATACTTTAAGTTCTGGGATACATGTGGAGAATGTGCAGGTTTGTTACATAAGTATACACATGCCATGGTGGTTTGCTGCACCCATCAAACCCTCATCTACATTAGGTATTTCTCCTAATGCTATCCTTCCCCTGGTCCCCTACCCCCTGACAGGCCCCAGTGTGTGATGTTCCCCCAGTGTTTGATGTTCCCCTCCCTGTGTCCATGTGTTCTCGTTGTTCAGTTCCCACTTATGAGTGTGAATATGTGGTGTTTGGTTTTCTGTTCCTGTGTTAGTTTGCTGAGAATGGTGGTTTCCAGCTTCATCCATGTCCCTGCAAAAGACATGAACTCATCCTTTTTTATGGCTGCATAGTATTCCATGGTATATATGTACCACATTTTCTTTATCCAGTCTATCATTGATGGGCATTTGGATTGGTTCCAAGTCTTTGCTATTGTGAACAGTGCTGCAATAAACATATGTGCGCATGTGTCTTTATAGTAGAATGATTTCTAATCCTTTGGGTATAGACCCAGTAATGGGATTGCTGGGTCAAATGGTATTTCTGATTCTAGATCCTTGAGGAATCGCCAGACTGTCTTCTACAATGGTTGAACTAATTTACACTCCGACCAACAGTGTAAAAGTGTTTCTGTTTCTCTGCATCCTCTCCAGCATCTGTTGTTTCCTGACTTTTTAATGATCGCCATTCTAACTGACGTGAGATGGTATAGCATTGTGGTTTTGATTTGCATTTCTCTAATGACCAGTGATGATGAGTTTTTTTTCATATGTTTTTTGGCCGCATAAATGTCTTCTTTTGAGAAGTGTCTGTTCATATCCTTTGCCCAGTCTTTGAGCGGGTCTTTTTTTGTTGTAAATTTGTTTAAGTTCTTTGTAGATTCTGGATATTAGCCCTTTGTTAGATGGATAAATTGCAAAAACGTTCTCCCATTCTGTAGGTTGCCTGTTCACTCTGATGATAGTTCCTTTTGCTGTGGAGAAGCTCTTTAGTTTAATTAGATCCCATTTGTCAATTTTGGCTTTTGTTGCCATTGCTTTTGGTGTTTTAGTCATGAAGTCTTTGCGGATGCCTATGTCCTGAATGGTATTGCCTAGGTTTTCTTCTAGGGTTTTTATGGTTTTAGGTCTTATGCTTAAGTTTTTAATACATCTTGAGTTAATTTTTGTACAAGGTGTAATGAAGGAGTCCAGTTTCAGTTTTCTGCATATGGCTACCCAGTTTTCCCAACACCATTTATTAAATAGGGAATCCTTTCTCCATTGCTTGTTTTTGTCAGGTTTGTCAAAGATCAGATGGTTGTAGATGTGTGGTGTTATTTCTGAGGTCTCTGTTCCCTTCCATTGGTCTCTATATCTGTTTTGGTACCAGTACCATGCTGTTTTGGTTATTGTAGCCTTGTAGTATAGTTTGAAGTCAGGTAGCATGATGCCTCCAGCTTTGTTCTTTTTGCTTAGTATTGCCTTGGCTCTACGGGCTCTTTTTTGGTTCCATGTGTAATTCAAAGTGGTTTTTTTCTAATTCTGTGAAGAAAGTAAATGGTAGCTTGATGGGAATAGCATTGAATCTATAAATTACTTTGGGCAGTATGGCCATTTTCATGATATTGATTCTTCCTATCCATGAGCATGGAATGTTTTTCTATTTGTTTGCATCCTCTCTTATTTCCTTGAGCAGTGGTGTGTACTTCTCCTTGAAGAGGTCCTTCATGTCCCTTTGTAAGTTGTAGTCCTAGATATTTTATTCTCTTTGTAGTAATTGTGAATGGGAGTTCACTCACGGTTTGGTTCTCTATTATTGGTGTATAGGAATGTTTGTGATTTTTGCACACTGATTTTGTGTCCTGAGACTTTGCTGAAGTTGCTTATCAGCTTAAGGAGTTTTTGGGCTGAGACAATGGAGTTTTCTAAACATACAATCATTTCATCTGCAAACAGAGATAATTTGGCTCCCTGTCTTCCTATTTGAATACCCTTTATTTATTTCTCTTGCCTGATTGCCCTGGCCAGAACTTCCAATAATTTGTTGAATAGGAGTGGTGAGAGAGCATCCTTGTCTTGTGCCAGTTTACAAAGGGAATGCTTCCAACTTTTGCCCATTGAGTATGATATTGGCTGTGGGTTCGTCATAAATTTGAAGAGCTATTTTTTTAACCTTCTGTCACAGAGATATTTTGTATAGATCAAGAGATCTTGAAGCATTCAAGATGCATACTGGAGAAAATCAATAGTGAGAAATTAACCTGTGTGTTGAACAATTCCAGAGAATGAATGAAGATTTATCTCAAGTGTTCACAGAGCAATCTTGTTGTAGAATTAGATGAGCCAATAAAAATTCACATTATGTCATTAAACAGCTGACTGCTATTTACAATTCTATGAAAGAGACAACCCTGGGTTCTGCACCCTGCAAAGTTCAGATTTGCAATGATCTTGTAGGATGCTATAATCATGGAAAGCTAGCCATAACATGTTTGGCTCTGTCCTTTGAGAAATCCTGAATATATTGTATTGTTTTGGTGTGATACACAGAGGTCAACCAAGATTGGTCTCTTGATCTCTGAATAAAATAATGTAATATTTTGGGGCATATTCAAGGGTGGAGGGTGAGAAGAGGGAGAGGATCAAGAAAAATAACTTACGGGTACTGGGCTTAATACCTGGGTGATGAAATAATCTGTACAAGCAATCGCCATGACACAGTTTACTGATATAACAAACCTGCACATTCACTCCTGAACTTAAAATAAAAGTTTTAAAAAATTAAATTAAATTGTTTAAATGTAATATAAAAAATTAATTTTTTAAATTAAGGAACACTTGAGACATTAAGACCAAAATTAAAACTCCAAACTGTCAAGCAACTGTTAAATGTGTGCAAATAGGAAACAAATAGAATGAAATGAAGCCTCGAGAATCTACCCTTAAGCCAAAGGACACAACATTGCCAATAAGCACATCTGAGAAGGCATTTCCACTCCACTGAAGGTTAAGACTGTTTACCTGAAGCACCACTACTACCATTCTGAAAAGCAGAAAACTACGTTTGTTGGTATGTTTATTTAACAAAGGGGACTGAACAATCCTCAGAAACACTCTCTTTCCTGGAAATAACATGATTTGAAAATTGGACAGTAGGCCGGGCACGTGGGTCACACCTGTAATCTCAGCACTTTGGGAGGCCGAGGCGGGCAGATCACGAGGTCAAGAGATTGAGGTCATCCTGGCCAACATGGTGAAACCCCGTCTCTACTAAAAATACAAAAATTAAATCCCAGCACTTTGGGAGGCCAAGACGGGTGGATCACAAGGTCAGGAGATCGAGACCATCCTGGCTAACACAGTGAAACCCCGTCTCTACTAAAAAAATACAAAAAACTAGCTGGGCGAGGTGGCAGGTGCCTGTAGTCCCAGCTACTCGGGAGGCTGAGGCAGGAGAATCATTTGAGCCCAGGAGGCAGAGGTTGCAGTGAGCCGAGATCGTGCCACTGCACTCCAGCCTGGTGACAGAGCAAGACTCTGTCTCAAAATAATAATAATAATAAATAAAAATAAATTGGACAGTAGAGTACTGACCTACCCTTTTATCAGAATGGGAGGAAAAATCATAATCTGGCCTTGGAAATTGCTACTTCTCCATCATAAGACATGGTTTTGCCAGAATAATTAATTTTTAAAATTTTTTTTATGTACTTACAAAGAAAAAGCTCTGCTTTAAAGCAATCATGAACTAAATGTAGGACCTACATACACTTTTTTCAAGGCTGGATTAATACCCTGCCAGTAGCAATGTACTGGCTTCTATGTCTACTGGTATTTACTTAAAAACATTAATATGATCAGATAACTGTTTTTAAAAGTATTCACTACATCAGAAGCCTCAGGGAGTAATGCAAGTTCCAGAATTGCTTTACTAATTGTTATCCTAAAACTTTATACAATAAATGAATAACAGAAAATGAAAATGGACTTACAAGCAATGAAAGAGTGTGTTAGGCCCGTTCTTCTCATGTTTCTTGGAAAACATGAAACCCATGCCAACACTTGACTTCATTTCCTTTAGTAGCAATGTTTTAAAAGAAGATAGACAAATATAAATAAGTAAATACCTACTATTATTTTGTGCTTCTTCCTCTCAGATGAAAAACTTTTATTTCAATCTGTTTATAACTATCTCCATAAGGAAATAGTGAGAAAAGAATGTTTTCTTGGAAAAATAAGCTCTATGAAGTTTATGGCTGACCCATCAAGAGTTAGTGCCCCAGGCACAGCGGCTCACACCTATAATCCCAGCACTGTGGGAAGCCAAGGCGGGAGGATCACTTGAGCTCAGGAGTTCAAGACCAGCCTGGACAACATAATGAGACCTTGTCTCTATAAAACATTTTTAAAAATTAGCTGGGTGTCATAGCACATGCCTGTAATTGCAGCTACTGGGGAGGCTGAGGTGGGAGGTTCACTTGAGCCCAAGAGGTCGAGGCTGCAGTGAGCCATGATCACACCACTGCACTCCAGCCTAGGTGACAAAGTGAGATCCTGTCTTAAAAAAAAAAAAAGAAAGAAATTCAATCACATTTTGATTACAAAGCTGGCTATCCCGCAGTCATAAAGGGCCCCACCTGCCACTGTGGGACATTCCTGGCCCAGGATATCACACATCTAAGGACTCAGAAGAAAGTTGATGATAAGGCTATGCCAGCTGTGCCTTTGACTTCTTGTCTTACTGCAGAATCTGCCCCAGAACTAGGCAGTTCTCCTGACCTTCCCCTGAGGAAGAGTGCTAGGTTATATTTTTTCAGAATTTAGAATCATCCTAACAATATGACATTGTGAACATTGATTTATCCCTAAAAACTCATTTAGTAAAATGTCTTTAGGCTTGTTACCCTGGCAGGATTATGAGGCTGCAATGCGATTCCATAAACACATGCTGGAGATATGCTGGAAATAAGGCATTTCTTATAAATCATGAGAAAGAATGCCTCAAAGGGAAAATATTTTTAAGTGATTCCCTATGATTCTGGAAGTACACATAAATGGAGATAAGTAAATTATATCTCTCAATATGGGGCACACTTCATTCTCTCCCTTCACCTCATCGACCAGTCCTGCTCCTGCCATCATTCCTCTCAGATGACACCACCAACTGTAATTACTCTCCATGTGTGAAACGGTGGCTGAGGACACTGAAGCGTGACGAGTGGCCAGTCTTTCCCGCACTGCCAACATTGGAAGATTGCTCTTTGATTTATGTCTATAGCCTTTGCTTGCAGAACTGGGAGCTCTTTGCAACTCTATTTGGTAGACTTGACATTGACCTGAAGCTTTTATTCATAGTCACTCATCTCTGAGCTTGACATACCAGACTGGTGTGTCTGGTACTGCAGCCTCTCGGCAGACAACAGCTCAGGCACACGTTTGATGCTTCACTTCAGAGAAACCTGGAAACATTTCTTCCATCCCTGTTGCCTGAAGTTGCCTGCTTCTGCCTGAGGCACAATAGCTTCCTAGGCTTTCCGCGGGCCTCTGCTGTCCTTCTTTGCTCGTTCCAACGTGGTGATCCAACTGACCTCAGTACAGAAAGGCTGGTTATATTTCAGAATCTTTTTGCCGATGAGTTTATTCTGACTTTACTCACCTTGAGAGGGCTATTCATAACTAAACAGCTTAGATGCTGGTTTACCTATATTACTTTATGCCTATGCTTGTTGTCCTGTGTGATTATTAATAATGTCCCTTTTACTGTTTTTCTTTTAATTTTTATTTTTACTTTTATAATTTTTGAGAGGGAGTCTGGCTCTATCAAGCAGGCTGGAGCACAGTGGTGCAATCTTGGCTGACTATAGCCTCTGCCTCCCAGGTTCAAGCAATTCTTGTGCCTCAGCCTCCTGAGTAGCTGGAATTACAGGCATGTGCCACCACGCTTCACTAATTTTTGCATTTTTAGTAGAGACGGCGGGGCGGGGGGATCTCACCATGTTGGCTAGGCTGGTCTCAAACTCCTGACCCCAAGTGATCCACCTAACTCGGCTTCCTAAAGTGCTGGGATTACAGATCTGAGCCACTGCATGCCAGCCTGTTTTTATTTTTTAGAAACACGGTCTTGCTCTGTCTTCCAGGCTGGAGTGTAGTGGTGCAATGTTAGTTCACTGTAACCTCAAACTCCAGGGCTCAAGTGATCTTCTCGCCTTGGCTTCCCAAAGTGCTGGGATTACAGGTGCGCACCACCACGCCTGGCCCCCTTTTACTCTTAAAAGTGTCCTAATTTTAATAACAAATTAAATACTCACCCTATTTATAGTCCACGTGCCTGTTTCTTATTCCTGTAGGAAAAGAAAACGTATTTTGCTTATTAAGGCTTACAGTCTACAAGAAATCAACTCGACTTATTCCTTCCCTTCAAACAGGACCAGACCAAAATCAGCTTCTTGATGACTGTGTATTGCATTCACATGGGTCTTTACAAGTTACTTAATGAAAGCTTTGTAATCAAGAGTTATATATCCACCTAAATCCCTTTGCTGAATGAAGTCTAATTTAAATGATTTTTTCATAATTTAAAAAATTTATTTGAAATCAATGCAGTCATTTTATATTTTTCCAAGCTCAGAACAGTGGATCTCCAACATGGCCTATTAACCACATTATTAATTCTCAATATTATGGTAAAGTATAGATAGATAGATGCTTGATAGATAGATAGATAGATACATACATACATACATACATACATACATACATACATAGATACATAGATACATAGATATGTAGATATGTAGATAGATGGATGATGGATGGACATTCTATTTGAATTACTACTTTTGTTTTTCAAAGCAATTTTATGTGTATTGTCTCACTCCACACTTATAAAAACCTCTGCTGTCGATAATATTATAATCCTTATGAAAAAACTGAAGGACTCAGAGTGAAGGGGCTTGCAAGGGGCTAGCAAGTTAACAGCAGAATCAGGACTAGCTAGATTCAGGCCTTCTAATATGTAGGCCTCTGCTCCTTCCATTCTCAATGGTACTTTATACCTCACTACAGGGTCATTCACCCAGAGCAAAGCCAATATGAGTTGTATGGAGGTACCTCAAAGTAGTAAAATCACTCATTCCTTGGAGACTTCTGTTTTTAACCGCTTAATTATGTTTGTTCTTCTCTGTACCTGTGTGTTTTTGTTGATTTTCCCACAAGCTTATTAAAGTAAGAAGTGAATCCAGGATTAGTCCTTCTTAATGAGATTTCCAAGGTACTTTTAAGAAAAGAAGTGATCAATTAAAGCTATTTGCATAGCTCTAGATGACAAATCTAAAAGCAAATACTGTGTTCTTGGTAATTATCAATGAGTTCAGTCCTCAGGGAGAGGAAAACAGTCATTAAGCAAAGAATTTATGCTCACTTCGCAGTAAGACTCCAAGCTGACCTTCTTTTAATAGTCTTATTTCTGAAAAGTTGTCAGGTGCATTTCTTAGCCATGTGAGACTCTCTGTCTGCACTGATGTGAATTCTCTCCGGCAGTTTTTCTCTTTTGAGGGTACAAGTTAAACATGTGTATTACTAGGCCTTTTGGTCTGTTTGGGCTGCTATAACAAAATATCATACACTGGGTAACTTAGAGATAATAGGAATGTATTTCTTACAGTTCTGGAGGCTGAGAAGTCCGAGATGGAGGAGCAGGCAGATTCAGTGCCTGCTGAGGCCCCAGTTTCTGATTTAAAGATCACGTCTTCTCACCGCGGCCTCACATAGTGGGGGGCAAGGGAGCTCTCAGGGGCCTCTTTCATAAGAGAACTAATCCCAATTATGAAATCTCTGCCTTCATGACCTCATCACTTCCTAAAAGGTCTCCCTCCTAATACCATCACCGTGGAGGTCAGGATTTCAATATATAAATTTGGGGGGTAGTGACACAAACATTTAGAATATAGCAGCAGGTCTTACCTCAAATCTATTGTATCAGAATTTCTGGGTTAGGCCACTAGATACAGAAAATTCTATTATCAAAGAGATAAATAATTGCTTTGTGCCCCAGTTCCTAATATCCTACCACTAGCAAATCCAAGTTAATTATCTGACATGGTTGCTCACAAGTAAACACTGCAGATGTCTGGAGGAATGATCAGTTGTAATCCGAAGCTATTATAAATTTGCATTGAGAGAAACATGCCTAAGAACATTTTATTTCAAGAATTCTCTAGCTTTTATTAGGTCAATGATTATTAAACCTTAGTGTTTAAACACCTGGAGGTAATGTTAAAACACAGAATACTGGGCCACCCCTTAGTGATTGAAATGAGGCTCAAGAATTTACATTTCCAACATGTTGCTAGATGATGCTGATGGTCTGGAGTCCACGTTTTGGAAGCTATTGGTCCAGACCAGTGGTCTCACCACTTTGAAAATATCTTCTTAAAGATAATTTTGTTAATGTTGCATCTGTTTAGAAAGCATTAGTTATGTTTAAGAGGCATGTATTGGAAATGATAATAAAGCCCCAATACACTCGAAATTCAAACAAGTGTTAATTTAATCCAATAAATATTTATAACTGGAAGAAAGTTTCTCCCATAAATTATTTAAAGCAGGATCACAGAATTTGAAGACCAAAAATAGGCAGTATTATGGTATCATAGTAAATATCTTTTCAATCACTTAAATTTCTCAATTAAAGTATAACAAATACATCAAGACCCTTACTTTAAGTGCCTGGTATTGAGTCTCACATTAATAATTTGATATTATTGTCCCTTTCTCTATGTTCTTAGTGAACTTCATTCTACTGTAGAATAGAAGTGAAAATCAAAAGAAGGCATAGCATGGTGAACTGATTTACTCAACATTGTTTTTCAGTGTATTAGTCCTTCTGCCCCTAAACCATGCTTTTTCTCAAGTTTTGTCTTGGGAAAGGAAACATTAATTTCTGATGGCAAATAACCAGCCAACACCATTTCAAATACATTGTGTAAATACAGTTGAGCTATGGTTCCCCCCATCTTTGAAAAAATACTACAAGTTTAATTAAAAGTCTTTTAAGCGTAACAATATCTCACTATGCTCAACTCAGTTCACTAACTTTGTTAGAAAAAAGTTACAGAAGGTAAGGAAAAGCTTAGAATTTCTGCTGTGTTTTAACTGTGGTTCTCTCAGATTTGTAACTTTCTTTTCATTGAAGATAAACACTAAGACCTTCTTTAAAGGTCATTTCTACCTCATCCTCTGTCTTCTGAAATAAAAGTTAATTTAATTTTTTTCTTTTCAGTTTATTTAAATTTCAGCCTCTAATGGCACACAGAGTAAATCCTCCACACTATTTTTTCCAAATATTTTTCTGTTATTTTTGTGTATACTAAGGACGCATGAAAGAGAATGTATGGGAAAGGGTGTTTCACTTTACCAATGTTTGCTATTCAAATCTCTACCACCCAAAAAATTGTTATGGAATTTATAGTGTGGTTTTGCACTGATAAACCAAGCCATGTGTTCAGATTTTATGGTGAAAAAAAATGCAGTAGACGCAAAATATCCTATTAGGGTCAAAACCTAGACAGTGCATCTCAAATCAAAAGGATAAAATTATATGATCAGGACTTTCAATTTTTGTTAAAGATAAAGGGGGCATTGAGGGCCTGTCTAACACTCCCTATTCTAGTAAAGAATGGATGAAAGGAGGTGGGAAAGTGTGTACGGGTGGGGTTGGAAGAGAGAAAGAAACAGTCATGCTTTATTGCTTACGACAATTTTTTTTAATGTCCTAGAGGAAGCAGCAGGGAAGTGTCAGAGTGACTGAGATGTCAAAGAAATGATCTCACAAAAGAAATACTGCATTTGAAGCAAGGAGCCACTTCTCATTAATGTCTACCCACTAGCAAATGGTTGGGGTCAGAAACACATACATTCTCCAAACTGCCTTCAGTCAGAAGACAAGGATTTATCGAAAAACAAAACAAAACAAAAAAAAACAAAGGAGCTCAAACAAGTATTAAACAACTATGCAGAGTCAGTCATTGAAATGTTTAAAATAAAACAATCTTTGGGGCAATTCATCTGGATAACAAATGCCTCTGCTTGAAAAACGGCCTGGAGTTGAGGTTCTTTTATTGTGAACGACAGGAAGGACTTAACTGGAGGAAAGCTAATGACCTTGTTTCTACATTCCTCAGACATCAGTCGTCTGCCAGAAAATCGCCTATGGGGTTGAGGCAGTGACAGTTTAAAATGGCCAGGGAGAAAGTCTACAGAGAAAATGAGCTGCAGCTTCAGTGGCAGTTTCTAAAAATGTTGGTGAATACTTCCGCTATAGAGCAAAGCAATACACATTGCACTATCTGCTACCAGAGCTAAGCCGCTGGCCAAGATGCTAAGCTCTTTGAGAAATTATTCTCTCTGTTTTAAAAAATTCTTTTCTATTTCCATCAACCCCGAGTAAACTTCCTCCGAGTAAGTTAAAACATCAGATGAGTGAAATTCCTTTGGTAAGAAAATCAAAGGATCTTTCTTGTTGGAGTAAAGAAAAATGTTAGAACAGCAAAATCCCCAATCTTCCCTCATGATATATACTTTGTGTGTCTCTTCTCCCAAACTAGGATAAAACTGTTTCCGATAACGTCAGGAGCTTGGTCTTTTGCTCTGAGGGCGCAACATTCTCTCTAGATTTATTTCAATAAATGTTTGTTGAGTACCAACAAGAGTGAGTTTTTGCATTAGACTAAAAAGTATATGCAACTAGGGAAAAAAGACTGGTTAGTCGTCAAAAAACGACTGCTACAGTCTTTCTTTCCCATTTGAAATAGGACAAATATTCAGTCCCTCTAGGCCTTCTTATAATTGTGTGAAATATGATAATAAACATGAAATTGCTTCATAACTTGCAAAGCAAAATGTAAATGAAAGAGTTTGGTATTTAATGAAACCCTGTCCTCCAGCAGCGTATAGTCTAGCAAAGTGCTTCTTAGGTAGGGTAGCCATATAATCTATTGTGCAAACCAGATAATTTTTTAGGGGGAAATGAGGTGTTATTTGTAATCATAGAGGAAACGCAGGTGAAAATCAGGACTGATTTTCTTCTTAAAGACATTGAACAAAATACTCATGGACAATATGAAATATTAATCCAGAGTCAACATGTAGGATCAGAGTCAACATGTAGGGGCTCACAAAGTAGGTTTGGGTTTGAGTACTTGGGTTACTTATTGAAAAGTCCTAGGCCAGGCATGGTGGCTCATGCCTGTAATCCCAGTACTTTGGGAGGCCGAGGCAGGCAGATCACCTGAGGTCAGTTGTTCGAGACCAGCCTGGCCAACATGGTGAAATTCCGTCTCTACTAGAAATACAAAAATTAGCCAGGCATGGTGGCAGGCACCTGTAATCCCAGCTGCCTGGGAGGCTAAGGCAGGAGAATCACTTGAACCCTGGAGGCAGAGGCTGCAGTGAGTTGAGATCACACCATTGCACTGCAGTCTGGGCAACAAGAGTGAAATTCTGTCGAAAGAAAGAAAGAAAGAAAGAAAGAAAGAAAGAAAGAAAGAAAGAAAGAAAGAAAGAAAGAAAGAAAGAAAGAAAGAAAGAAAGAAAGAAAGAAAGAAAGAAAGAAAGAAAGAAAGAAAGAGAGAGAGAGAGAAAGAAAGAAAGAAAGAGAAAGAAAGAGAGAGAGAGAGAGAGAGAGAAAGAAAGAAAGAAAGAGAAAGAAAGAAGGAAAGAAGGAAAGAAGGAAGGAAGGAAGGAAGGAAGGAAGGAAGGAAGGAAAGAGGGAGGGAAGGAAGGAAGGAAGGAAAGAAGAAGGAAGGAAGGAAAGAGGGAGGGAAGGAAGGAAGGAAAGAAAGAGAAAGAAAGAAAGAAAGAAAGAAAGAAAGAAAGAAAGAAGGAAGAAAGGAAGGAAGGAAGGAAGGAAGGAAGGAAGGAAGGAAGGAAGGAAGGAAAGAAAGAAAGAAAGAAAGAAAGAAAGAAAGAAAGAAAGAAAGAAAGAAAGAAAGAAAAAGAAAGAGAAAGAAAGAAAGAAAGATCCTTAGAAATCATTTAGGCTATGTGGTTCTATTTTGCTATTTTTAAGTTTGAGCATGAAGCTTTATCTAAAGTAAAATTGTTTGTGTGCTATTACAGCTAGATTATAATATCTAGGCTATTCACTGCTTGAAAATGTCCCTACAACCTTTATTCATCAATCATGGTATCAAAATAACATCATAACAACCAGCTTAATTTAGAGTATATAAATAACATATAATGAAGGTGCTTTAAAAACGAAATACAGTCTTCTACTCTGTTTTGATATGCAATTATATACACTTAATTAAAAAGCAAAGAAAAAGTGAAAGTAGAATTCACAAAACAATTGAATTGTCAAACACCTTCCACAATATTAAAATTGTTATTTTGTAATTTGCTTTATGCATATCGCCAATAAAATTGTGTTTCACGTGATGAATGAGGATTTTGGAAGGAGATTGCTGTCAGGGAATTTAGCAATAAAACAAAGCAGTGAAGAAGATACTAGCTTTTTATTGCTAATTTACTTCCTTGGTTTTGCATTGCACCAGGGGTAATTCCTCTATCAAAGTGTGGTAATAATGTCTGACAGACTTACCTGATAAATGTGCCCCATCTTCAGAATGTAGGATAAGCTGTGTTTGTTCAATTTTACTGCATCCTGAGACAAATAAAATTGGGGAAAAGCTGCCATGAAATGAAGCTATTTTCTACAGAGTTTGTTCTTGACAAGCTGTACTGCAGCCCCAGCCACAATAAGGAGACAATGACTCATCTGGTATATAGCAAAACAATGAAAATAAAATAAACAAACAAAAACAAATATAAAGTTCCTAAATGCTATTCCAGCAACAGACCTGTAAAGAGATATCAGTTAATCTAAAATATGTATATGTTAGATGCTTAACTTTTTTTTGTTGGATAGATGAACGAATGGCAGGAATAATGCCTACTTCAATGCACTACTTTCAATATTTCCCATAGTTCAACCTATAAAATAGAAGGCAGAGAGAGAAAGAGCTAGATAAAATAAGAGGGAGAATGAGAGAGGAAGAAAAGTAACAGAGAGTAAATGAAAATCTTCACTCAAAATCATAAGGAATGTATCTTAACTGAATATTTTGATTGATGTGATGCATTGTTTTAGAATCACTGCTCCAAGGAAAAAATTGAGGCAAGAGGAAAATATACCCCATTGGGCAGTGGGCAGGAAAAAAAAAATCTCTGTCAAAGAGCACAAATCTTATTTACAATGGAACTTTAATGACTCTAAGCTGCTTTAACTCCCATGTAGTTCCCCCATTGGAAGAAGATTATGAAAGACTGCTCTCCTCTCTCCCAGCACACACTGATGTTGTTACCCCATTCTAAATGAGTATGGTAATGGCATTCACTAGGGATTATCAACATTTAGAGAAAAGAGTCTGAGAAAAAGAAAAAAGATCCAATACAAGCTGAGAAGAATACAACTTATCTATGGAGCTTCTGTGGATGGAAATGGCAAGTATAGATATTAATATATTACATGAGTCACTCGTGGTAGAGATTCACCTTAATGGCTTAGAACTCAATAAAGCTGAGGCAGAGGGACCCATTGTATAATAGTTTTAGGACTCTTCACTGCTAATGGAATAAGCTATAACCCTTTCCAAAGGAGCCCTAGAGCACCAGAATCACAGGGAGACAAAAAATAGTAGAAACTATGTATTTTTTCCCAGTATACTCGCATTTATCCACTTATGAGCAGGAATCTGTGATTTGAAAGCTTTCCAGAGTGACCTTGATTTCTAAAACTAATTAAGCAACAAGAAATGCATGAAACTGAGAAAGGAGACAAGTCTAAGGTGAACAATGGGCTATAATACAATCATAAAAGGCTTCAGAAATAACTGAAGAAGGACGACTGTTCTTGACCTATAACTTTACCTCATTTTGCTTGTACTGCTGAATCACATAAATGGAAAATAAGCAAAAGCAGTGGTTGTTGTAATTACTTTTATAATAGTGATGATTTTGACCTGATGTGAATTAATATTCTTAAACTTCTTCAAGGTACATTGCATTTGGCCAATTCTTCTTATTCTAAATCACCACAAAAGAACAAGGCTTACCATGCATCTTAGCAAAGCTGTTTTTGGCTTTTGTTTCTAATTCCTAAGGTCATCAACTCTAATCTTACAGAAGTTAAGCTTTGTTCTAATTGGCTATATAATCAGGGGTAAGTAACCTAATTTCTATAATTTAGGGCACTTATTCCTACATTGCACTGTACATTTTTCCTTACAAGTAGAAAATTACGTTATTTTGTAATAATAATAAAGTCAAAAAGGGTGTCCATGTTAAGCTATAAGAATTCAATCTGGAGAACATGGAGCATATTTTCCCTCACTTGGAGGGCTAGGGTAAGAGTAATTATTGGCAATGTTAGACTGAACAAACAGTATACTCCGTAAAAAATGAGATGGCCAACAACACTATTAATTGCATAAGATACTGGCTCATTCATTCATCAAACATTTATTGGTTGACCCTAATCATGCAAGTTTACAAAAACCTGCAATACAGCTTCATGGCAAAGCTTTCTCCTATGAAGAAACTTTTTACATAATAAAATTCAGGGAGAAAATAGTCAAAGGCATACTTAGTAAACCTTGCCAGTAGGGCTGAAAATCTGTTTCCCAATTGAAAAACCACAGCCAGATATCATGTATAAAGGAAAGTCATTCTCAGTAATCTTACTCTCCCTTTACTATTTTTTTTTAATAGATGACTGAAGATTACTGAGAGAATAAGCTCAAAAGAAAAAGACAGAAAATGTGGAATATGTTTGAAGTCTTTAACCCTTATAAAATAAAAATATCCAGTCATCTTCACTATAGGAAGGAAACCAGTAACATACATCTTTGGGAGTAGAACACACCTCGCCTTCCTTTTCCTAAATATTCCCTTCTGGCTCAATTAGCTGATAGAGGAGAGCTATTTCACCCTTGGAATTCTAATAAGGGGGCATGGGAAGGGCAGCAGTGCTCCAATCCTTGTTGGGTCCACCCCTGGATCTCGTTCAGGAATTAGGGGTGTCACAATTAATTCATTCATAACATATAAAGCTCCAAAGTTTCTACATTTTTAATTGAGCTAAAGTAATTTCATTTTTTCCTAAAATAATATCATTTTCACTGCCTTGTACTCTGTTATGCTTTCTCAGTAGCAGGAGAAGGGATTAGAGTTACAGTTAGTCCTGAGAATTGAGGAAAACCCTGGTTCTGACTATAGGACAACATCAGACACAGGAAGGCCACCCATCATCGTCACAAGGGAACAACACGGAACAGATACCGCAGGGAATTCCTGGTGATTTAGTCACCTACCTTTCCCCGCTTTGCCTCTTGATATCTCTGAGCTCTAACGGTGGAGAAAAGGGAAAGAGATAGAGGTCAGTGCTTCCCTCCGAGGGAAAGTCCTGAGAAAGCAGTGCACAGCCATTGAAGGTCCGAGGCCATTCACTCTGTACAACACACTGATAAAAAACAAACCAGTGAAAAATAAAGTCTAGTTAACTCAGGCAAATGCTTTTGAAAAATTCAAATTCAAGCTCTTAACTATCAAATGTTAACTAACTAGGAGGCAATTGCTCTACCAACAGTGAGCTGGCTTCCATTTGCTTTCCCTGGCTTCAGATTTCTCTTCAAAGAGACATATTAAACAACGCACTGATATTTTTCAACCTGGCAGGAAATATGCCAGCTGCACCAGCCATTGGAAAGGGAAGACTATTATCCCAATTGCCAATTTTAACCAACCCAGTAAGTAAATAGCCTGGGCCTAATCTTTATAGGCAGTTAAACTGTGCAGTGCTTGATAAATACTCCTGGGTGGCTGTGGTAAAGCAAAACAAAGAATACTGCTGGATAACAAGACAGCTGTAAAAATTAACGTTAGATCCCAGAGGAGATAGGAGTTTCCGGATCACAGAAGCTGTCTGTGACAAGAGAGATACCTATTACAAAAGAGTGATGGTTATTAAAAGAACAATAAGCACTGCAGCTACATTTAAGGCATTCTACAATCAATTTTAAGATAAGTAACATTGCCTGAAGTTAAGTACAAAAGATAACAAAATACAAACCCCATCCAAATGTATCAAAGCCTTGCAATTAACTTCTCATTACCAGAAGAAAACGTTGTATAAAATGGCTATTGAAGAAGGATATTGGTCCAGGAAGGCAATAGTGGAGTTTGGTGGGTCAGACCTTGAGTTTTCTACAAAACGTATAGCCTCTTTTTTCCAGTGTAAAAATCCTTGCCAGAAGCAGGAAAAATCTATATGCTAATCATATTTCCAATTGAGCTCAAACTGAAGGAAGTTAAGAGGAGAGCACAAATGACTCAGAGGGCAAAGAGACTGACGTACAAAAAGAAATGATTAAAAGATTCTCAAATGGCCAGCTCTGCTGAGTAGCGACCGAGAGGAGACGTGATTGTCATTGGAAAGTGTCCACAGAGTAAACAACAGTCAGAGTCATTACTGGGCTGAGTCGAAGGACTAAATTGGGGTAAAATTAAGGACAGAGAGATTTAAACTGAATGTCGGTGATGAGAAGGGCTGCCAGATAGTGAAACATCTCCCCAGGGTTAACCATGAGACATCCTCTCAGAAGGCTTTTAAAAGTCAGGCTCTACCATGAACCGAAGGAGCCTTTTTCCAATCTAAAGGAATGAAAAAAAAAAAAAATCCCTCCTTAAAGAGCAGGATTATATTTTGGGAGGGGGGCAGGAATAATTATCTAAGGTTTCTCCTAGAGAAGGAAAAGGTTGTGGTGGGAATCAACGAGGGAAGCTCATTTTAGAGGAGGTGGGGAAGAAAGCAGGAAGCATGAAAAAGGGAAGGTCACCAGCCAGCAGAAAAGAGGTAGGAAGCAACACCCTGTCTAGACTCCAGAAAAACAACGACAGAACCATGACTGGCAAACACTTCTGCAGTGGTTTTGTGCTGAAAGTGATGGCACAGGCATCTCCCTGAGCTCATCAGCACGACGTGGTTTTTCCTAGCAGTAGCCTCAACAGTTGGTGATAACCTACTGTATAAATTCCTTGTGTCCTTAAGCTAAGAAATAATTCTCTAAAAACCATAGGAAGCTAGTCTTTGTAGTATTTCCTATTTTTAACTAATGGTACTTAACAGAGTAGTGGTTTAGAATACAAGCTTGGCATCAAGCGGATCTCGGTTCAAATTTCAGCCCTATTTACTGTGTGGCTATTGGCCCACAATATAGCCTTTCAATGACCCAAATTGTCAGCTGAAAATGGGGTGATAATATATACTTTTAGCAGTCAGTGTTCTTGGTTGCAAGAATTACACTGGAAAACTTCAGCAGAGGAGGAATTTATTGGAAGGATATCAGAAAGCTCATAGAATCAACAGTAGAGATGAGAAAATGGGTGGGAATTAAGGGAGGTAGAGCGTACTGAGCCATGGGCAAGGTTATGCCACAGAAACTGCCTGGTTAGGGTGCCACCGTATGAATTGCTGCTCCCACACACTGTCAGACTCTGCTGCCACTGGACATTGGATGCTGTTCCCATCCGCTCTGTGTCATCATCACGAAGTGAATTCTAAAAGATCGCTGCATTTTGTTTATCTTACTTAAGATTCTCATTCAACACTGGGAGCACCTGACTGGCCAAGCCTCAGCCGCAATGCCTGTAGCATAGCTGCCAGGGAAACAGAGAAAAGGGAGTAGCTGATCCTTTGCATCTTCTTTAGTGGAATGCAGGATGCAGTGTCCCATGGAGATTCACAAAGTGCATGCTTTCCTCCATATAAGAAAGAGGTTCGGGCCAGACGTGGTGGCTCAGGCCTGTAATCCCAGCACTTTCGGAGGCCGAGGCAGGCAGATCACGAGGTCAGGAGATCGAGACCATCCTGGCTAACACGGTGAAACCCCCTGTCTACTAAAAATACCAAAAAAAAAAAAAAATTAGCTGGGAGTGGTGGCTGGCACCTGTAGTCCCAGCTGCTGGGGAGGCTGAAGCAGGAGAATGTCATGAACCCAGGAGGCAGAGCTTGCAGTGAGCCGAGATTGCCCCACGCACTCCAGCCTGGGAGACAGAATGAGGCTCCGTCGAAAAAAAGAAAAAAAGAAAGAGGTTCCAACACTGGAAAGCCAAAAAAAAAAAAAAAAAAAGGACAAACATCTTTCCTAGTTCACCTCTACGTCTGCCCAACTTTGCCTACATTCTTCTTCCCCTAATTAAACTTCCAAAAAATGTTCACACCTAACAAAACACAATGACCCTTATATACCGAATAACCCTCTCCCAAACAGAAAACAAGACATCAGTTCTCACACCAGCTGGAATCCAGGCTGTCTGAATGATGTTAATCCCTCTAAGTTGTATAACAATCTCACCTTGATATCCACCAACGAACGAACCAAATTGTGACATGAGTAACTCTACCTTATGGTTTTGGAAAGACAGAGGAAATAAAAAGAAAAACAGCAAACATGCAAGTATCTGTCTAACCCGTATCTGTCAGGTTCTGAGCTCAGAAAGTAAGAGTTCAGATAGGAGATGTTATTTATACATTTGACAGCAAAGAAGGAAGTACAGATAGGAAGAAAATCAGTGGTCATTCTATTTATAATTGGTCACTAGGCCATAGCTACAATTTTATTTCCTCTTCCATCCCCTTTGCTGCTCAGAGTTCTTTTCCTAGTAAGGCCACCCAAATCTTTATTTCTGAGAGATATAGGTCCTTTGTGGGGTTCTGCCTATATAGAATTGCAGTAGCCCTCCCTATTCAATGTCACCTCTGGTTGCAGTAGAAGAAAATACCTCAGAATATGCCCCCAATGTCACAACAGAAGCCCACTTTCACTTTGAAGCTCAGGATCAGTGACCACAACCAACACCAAAGTCCTCTATTCCAATGGCAGAAGGAGACCAAAATGGTCATGTTGCAGTTTCCAATTCAGTAGAACCATTGTTCTGTTTCCTGGAAGACACACCCATCCCTTGAGTAGTTAAGGTTCTAGCTGATAGCAGCCAGGGTCAAAAAACTAGAAGCAAAAATTTCAAATTGGTCATTAGGTATAATTATTTCTATTCCTTGGTTCCAAGATACCTGTATTCAAACTGGATGAAGCATCATAAGTTAGCCTAAGAAAATACAGTTAATATCAGCTGTATACAGCACCTTGAAAAATGTTATATCCCAGCTGGTATTATAAATAAGTCTTTAACACACATTTCAACAAAGTCAGCTGCTTTTGAGTGATGGGAAATATGTGAAGACCAACAAATAACTGAGTGTAAACCCATTACCTTCCTTGATTCACTACAAAGTGAATTCTTGGTCAGAAGCAAAATTGTGTGGGATAGTGGTGAAATTCATGATTATCAGAAACCAAATCACTAGCCAAACCATTACCCATTGATCATAATATGTATAAATCCTTACATCATGCTGCACTTTTTTCCAGACTTCATGGCTAGTCGATAGATACTCTCCAGAGTTCTTCCCGCTGGAAGGACTTGCCTTCATCACTCTTTCAGGATCAGGCTGAGTGGGGCTGTCCTTGCGCTACACTTCACATCTGGCTTATGCCAGCTAGGGGTTCAGAGTGCCAAGTCAAGCTCAAAGCGTTCCCTCATTAAAATAGTCATAGAGAATCACCATTAGGCCATACACGTTTGCTCAGTTGCAAAATGGGTTTTACTAGATTGTAAGGTTGAAATGGAATGTGCTTTTGAATCATTTAGTCCAGAGTCTGACATATAATAAATATACCCAAGTGCAAATAATTATGATTGTCAAAGTAATTTTTAGGTAAGAGCCAAAGTGTTTAGATAAGGAAATGAATTCAAATATAGGTTTTCCTGAGTCTACGTATTTAATAAATAAGAGTAGTCAACACATAGATTAATAGATACATATTTAGCATCCTGTTATTACTGAAGTTACGTATTTTAAAGCCAATTAATTGACGCACACTCTCATTCTTTAATAAATTACCAAAGGAAAATAATACAGGTCTATGATATCAACTAAAAGGAAAAAATTCTAATCATTTCTGGTTACTATGAGGCTTACATAAAACATCGTATAACTATAACAGATTATTTTAAGAAGATAACAACTTAACATTGATTACATAAAATAACACTACACTTTTACTCCCCCCACACACATTTCATGTGGGTTTTGTTTTTTTATTTTTATTTCAATAGTTTTGGGGAACAGGTGGTGTCTGGTTGGATGGAAAAGTTCTTTAGTGGGTGATTTCTGAGATTTTGCTGCATCCATCACCCGAGCAGTACACACTGTACCCAGTGTGTAGTCTTTTATTCCTCACCTCTCTCCCACCCTTTCCCCCAAGTCCCCAAAGTCCATTATATCATTCTTATGCCTTTATGTCCTCATAGCTTAGCTTCCGCATATAAGTGAAAACGGACGATGTTTGGTTTTCCATTCCTGAGTTACTTCACTTAGAATAATGGTCTCCAACTCCATCCAGGTTGCTGCAAATGCCATTGTTTAATTCCTTTTCATGACAGAGTAGTATTCCATGGTGTATGTGTCCGTGTGTGTGTGTGTGTGTGTGTGTGTGTGTGTGTGTCTGTGTGTATCACAGTTTCTTCATCCACTCAGTCAATGAGCATTTAGGGTGGTTTCATTTTTTGCAATTGCAAATTGTGCTGCTATAAACATGCATGTGCAAGTGTCTTTTTTATACAATGACTTCTTTTTAGGAAGATACCTATTCGTGGGATTGCTGGATCAAATGATAATTCTATTTTTAGTTTTTGGGGAATTTCCATACTGTTTTCCATGGTGGTTTTTACTAGTCTGCATTCCCACCAGCAGTGTAAAAGTGTTCCCTTTTCACCACATCCATGCCAACATCTATTTTTTTTTTGAGTTATTGATTATGACCATTCTTGCAGGAGTAAGGTGGTGTCTCATTGTGGTTTTGATTTGAAATTCCCTGATAATTAGTGATGTTGAGCATTGTTTCACAGGTTTCTTGGCCATTTGTGTATCTTCTTTTGAGCATTGTCTATTCATGTCCTTTGCCCACTTTCTGATGGGATTGTTTTTTGGTTTTTATTTTTTTGGTTTTTGTTTTTGTTTTGCTGATTTGTGTGAGTTCCTTGTAGATTCTGGATATTAGTCCTCTGTCAGATGCATAGTTTGTGAAGATTTTCTCCCACTCTGCGGGTTGTCTGTTTACCTTGTTGATTATTACTTTTGTTGTGCAGAAGCTTTTAGTTTAATTAGATCCCATGTATTTATCTTTGTTTTTGTTGCATTTGCTTTTGGGTTCTTGGTCATGAACTCTTTGCCTAAGCCAATGTCTAGAAGAGTTTTTATGATGTTATCTTCTAGAATTGTTATGGTTTCAGATATTAGATTTAAGTCTTTCATCTATCTTGTATTGATTT